TCTGCATAGCGAGCTAATAGTCGGCGCATTAGTTTTAACTGCGCGGCCTAAGGGTGGGACGGCAGGTTGTTTTTATCTATCTGGAGCTGGCTTGCCCGGGGACTTCCCTGCTCTGTGTGTGTCTGTGTGAGTGTGTGTGTCTGTGTGTGAGTGTGCGCGCGCCCATACGAGTGTGGGCGACGCGGCGGTTGCGTCGTCGCGGCCCGCTCGTCGAATCCTCTCATCGTCTCCGCTGTCGATGAGCGGCGCCTGGGAACGCCTCCCAGAACGCCTTTGGAACGCCCCACCAGAACGCCCCTCCCGGATTACGGCGAGAATATGAGCTTCGAACGAGCGGCGCTGCTTCCGTGGGGGCGCCATAGACACACACACACACACTCAGACACACGTACATACACGCGTGACCACACCCCGCGACTTCGCGTGTGGCGAAATGTTTATCATTACCATTCGAATTTGCCGCCAGAGTGTTGCCAGCGAACACACACAGTGCAAAACCAATGGGGACAAAAACTGAAAATTCCCATGTTTTTATTTCTTTGAAAAAAAAAAGAATAGAAAATGATTATTTGCTTGTCCTTTGAAAACTGTGCTGTCTTCATATTTTTTATCGATGGTCTTTTTTCATTCTGTAAAAATTGTATCACTCTTCTACTTTGTAAACCAAATTGCTAACAGTTTTCTTTTTCCTTGTGTGTTGCAGGTAAGACAACCTTCCTTGGCTTATCCTCGCTCCGCCGTTAGCGTGAGTCTTGAAACCATCTCTGGCGAGAAAGGGGGGAACAAAGTGCCGATTTCCAGTCGAATCCGTCTCAAAATAATTGCCAATCAAATCTCCCCACACCCAAACAGGCGTTTCTTGAACCAAGATAATGTACTTGCCATAAGTGAACTTTCTTGACACATCCAAGAAAATTAACTTATGACAAGTACATTATCTTGGTTCAAGAAACGCCTTTTTTGAATGCAGATTTTTGTTTTAGTTTTTTTTTTTTTTTTGTTAATTGTCATGTAAAGTCTCTTGTCGATACGACAGGCGCTGAGTCGATACTTGTCGATCCCGTTCGAGAGCGGTGCTCTCTAAATGTTGTACAGTGAAGATTCTCTATATTATGGTGAAAATGTTCCATATTATGGTGGTGCAGCTGACTGCGTAACATACTCGGTAACATACCATGGAGAATTCACTGTACCTTATTGATATTTTGACGAATTTCGTTGGTATTATGGAGAAAATGTCCACCACAATATGTCGGTGCAGCCTTTCACCCCAGGACATTTACAGTGTGTGCTAGGACGGTACCGCGTCGTGCCGTTGGGTCCGAATCGGGCCCCCGTTTCCAAGGCGGTGGCGTGAACCTGCCCTTGGAGTTTTGTGTTGCCTCACTACGGTCCGGGCACTCCCTTGGCGTCTGTGTGTGTGTTCGTGTGTGCAAGTCTGGGCTGGGCCGGCTGGGCCTTGCAGGGCGTGGCGGTCGCGTTGGCGTCAAGTTGGCGTTCTCAGGGTCGCCGCTCTTTTAGTCCGCCCGCTCTGCCCGCTCTGCCCGCTCTGCCCGCTCCTAGCGCTCTAGCGGACGGACCCCGGGCTGGCTGGGCTCGGCCATCCAATCGCCCAATCGAAAGTGGAGAAGCAGGGGGAAAAAAGTCAGAGAAATGGGATTTTTTGGTTTTCGCTGGGTTTTGACGTTTTTCCCGAATTAGCACTCTGTTAATGTTGAATTTGGAAATCTCCCAAACTTCCAAAGTTCCATGGGTTATACAAAAAAAAACGGCCCCCCTCCAAAAAAATTACAAACAAAACTAATATTCACCGCGGAAACTCAATAAATTTTAGACAGTGGAGTTTTGGGGACTTTCTGAAGATAGCGGGCAAATTTTTCCTCAACAAGGTCTCTGGGAATTCTCAAGATTCTTTTAACAGTACGACAGTCTCTCTCTCCATTCTCTCTCTCTCTCTCTCGGCGTCGACGAGATATCGACAGGGACGCGTAAACGAGACTGGCCGTTGTGTGTACACTGTAGGACGCAGGCGGCAGCGGGAACTAAAGGGTTTTGCGGAGCGATAGAGGCAGCGGATTGCCGGATTTGTGCAGCGCTTCTGTGGCGCGGCGCCGCCGGCCTCAATGAGTTGAATGCGCTGAATGAATTGAATGCCGTTGAATGAATTGAATGAATTGGGCGGATTGGGTGGGACGCTGGTCAGGACCCTAAGCGGATGAATCGGTAATGATAATGAGGGGCTCGCGCGTCATTAGAATCAAGGACTGGGCCACCGAGTGCGAGAGAGAGAGACAGTGTCGGACACGGCCAAATGTTGCAGCCAACTTGTCAAAAAAAAAAAAAAACGATTTAAAAAAAACTATGATTTGCAATTTTGCTTTCTCTACATTTTTTTGTCCCTGTTACAAGTATGAGTATGTTGGAGTATGCAAATGAAGAATCTTTGACCGAAGTTTAGGATTTCCAGAGTCTGAAAAACAAATGCAGACAGGTTAGACTGCCAAACCAAACTAAAAAGTTTCGGTTTTTATAGAATACCATTGCGTATTTTTCGTGTGTAAAGTTGGCCACTAAAACACGAGGAGAAACATGCAGTGGGCTTAGACCTGGAAGACGGATAGAGGGGGATTTCGAAGAGCGGGATAGAAAGAATGATGTCGAGGGAGGGGGAGGGGGGAGGGGCCGGGCCGGGTGAAGGGCGCCCTCGCCCTGGCCAACATACATATGAGATCTGGAAGAAAATGCACGATAGTAAAAACAGGCGAGGGGGTGGTCGGGTGGTCTTCCCTCAAGGAGGGAGGGCGCAGTATTGGGATTGCTGGGGCGGGCAGGGCTGAGGCAAGGCGGGCCAGGGCAGCGCGTCCCTTGATTTCCAATTCTGCATGTTTTGGAGGAGACTTGACACTCAGCAGAAAATCCATCGCCTGGCCGAGCTTGGTCCCTTGCACCTTCGCCATGCCAGCGCTACCCAGATCGATTCGAACGCAAAACCCGGCCGGCTCTCGGTATCCGAACCCGGGCCCGCGCGGTAGGTCTTAAACCGAGGGGGAATCGCTGGGAATTTCGGTGTTCAAATCAAACTAATTTCAGTCGAATTTTTAGAAAAATCTCAATAAATTTTAATAAATTTTAGCCAATTTCAATTTTTTTTTTTGTGAATTTTGGTTACAAATTTGGCCTGAGTTATTTACCCTTGTCTAATACCTCGCATCACACGAACGCTACCTCGTCTCCGTTCTCGGCAAAAATGAATACCGATTTATTTATTTCTTTTTTCCCGCGAGACGTGAAGGCGAGTGCGCCTCGAGGTCTGCACGCTGGGTCCGCCTCTCTCCGTCTCTCTCGCACCGGTGGGGCGTCCCGGGAGTGTGCGAGAGAGACGGAGCGGCGGGGTCTTCCGAACGGAGCTCGAACAAAGCGCCCCTTGATAGCGCTGCCGCAGGCTGATTCCGAGAGCCGTTTTCGTCGCTGTCTCTCTCTCTCACCTATACGGGACGTCCCATGAGTGCGAGGGAGACAGAGCGACGGGCGCTGCCAGCGCCCCACGCGGCCGCGCCTGGAACCGCACCGCTCGCTTCCTCCGGAACCCACTGCATATTTACTCAGATAAGCCTCTCCGTATGGGGTAATTTACTGGGCCCCTCGGACATAATGTTGCAGCGGGGTTTGTAAGCAGATTATACGCGGTGGCGTGGTGGCAGGTTGCTGCCTCGCGGCGCCCCGAGAGGCGAAAGAGAGAGAAAGAAAGAGAGGGAGCGTAAGTCTTGGGGCGTCTGGGGTAGTTGTAATTGCATCCCCCGTCTAATGGGGCATTGTAACTCTCTAGCGCTACGCCGCGGCTTTTTCGCCTCGCCACTGTCCGTCTGGACAGTCGGCTGTCTCACTTGGACGATTTTCTCGCCTTTAGACCGGGTAAAGCTACCTTTTCGTGCTGCATCCGCTTCACGTCATTTTCTTAAATTATTATTTTATTTCATTTTTATTTGCTGTGCCGTTTTTAATTGGGCTAATGGGTCGCCCCTCCGCCTCTGTCAATTCCCCCGGCCACTTTGCCTGAGGTGTCTCCTCCACTGCGCCACGGCGTGGCTTTCCGCTGCTTTCCGCGGGCCGCGGCGTGCAAACAAGGGATTGGGGAGGGGGAGGGGGTTTGCTCGGGCTTTTTGCGCGCGCTCCCTTTTTTTTTGGGACGCCACTCTCGACTTGGGGGTCCCCGTGCTGCCGGCGACTGGGGTGGCGTCGGCCGCTTCCATACCGCACTTCTTCTTTCTTGCCTCCCCCCTCCCCTCCCCCTTCCCCCCAAAGCGTCGCCATTACGTGAAAGAGCGGCCAAAGAAGTAATCAGACCGCAGAATGATCAGATTCCCCCTCCCCCCCCCCTTCCCCTCCTCTGCGGCTCCGCGCCTTGGTAACAGGTGCCCCCTATGGCTGTGTTGTTATGTGAGTTGTAAATCAAGAGGAAACTCGGCCCCTCTCCCTCCCCCTCCCTTCGTCGCGGAAGAGGAAAAGAGCGAAATGAAAATAGAGGTCCAGAGACAGCGGTCGGTGGGCTTGTTTCCTTTCTTGCTTTCTTCCACGTCCCTTTTCTTCACGCGTTCGTTTTTACCTTGTCCCCCCCCCCCCCCCGGTCTTCCCCCTTCCCTCTGAAATCTCTTTCATTTTTGCCCTTTTCCGCGTCTCGGTTTGTTTCTCGCGCCCCAGAGAGATGCACAGTGGATTTGCCAGAGGACCGGCGGGGCGGCCAAAATTCTAGACGCGTTTTGAGCCCCTCAGCCGCTGAATGGGGGACTCGAGCCGGACGAGGAATCCATTGGTGGGGTCACACGTTTGATTCGAGTCGACTCTACGGCTCAAAACACGTTTAGAGTTTTGGCCGCCGCCACCGGTCCTCTGGCAAATCCACTGTGGGATGGATGGGTTTCGTGGTTCGGGGCGGCGGTGCGTTTTCGACTCGTTGCAGCTTTGCAATCCAGTGTGTGACCCTCGGTTTCTTTCTGTTGCAGTATGGGTCTGACGAGTTCGGGCAGGACTCCCCCCGGTACACGTCCCCTAAGACTGGAGGAATGTACGCCTCAGACACCTACTATATGGGTAAGTGGCAGCACTGATTGATGTGAATATTTATATTTATTTTTAATTTTAGAACAAAATAATTTTTGCGCAAATTATTTTTTTGTGCTTGATTTTTAACTTTTCTCGTGTGAAAAAAAAATAGGCTTACTTATGTACTTGTTGTTGTGTTGCAGATGGCACTGGGGCAGGGTCAGGAGACCCGTGGTCCAGCAGTGGTCAGCTCCCTCAAGGTGGCTATTCCTATGGTTCACCCTCCCTGCTACCTGGGGGCCCACCTCCCCACCTCAGCCAGACCGGCTACCCACCCCCCATGCACCTCTCACATGACCCAATGGTTTGTAGACCCTCATATTGTCGTTACATCGCTACGTAGGATGCCTTCCCTCCCTGAGTTTACGTTTGGCATGCTTGGCAATTCTTTACCTGTTCCGTCAACTAGTGACTTGTGACTCCCACTTTCCCCCAGCTGAAGGTATCACGTAACGTCCTGATCCAACAGTCAAAAGTTGTAATTCAGACTAAATGACTTTGTTACCTTTCGTTCAGATAACAGTCAAGTCACCCTCTGCTACTTATTTGTAGTCACCTGACTTCCGTAGTCTTGCATTCCATTCCCTTGACTTTTGACCCCAGCTTTCCTTTCAATACTTTTCTCCAAGCCTGTGCATGCCGCTGCGGGCCGGTCCGTTGACACGTTGTCCCTGTTGTTGCAGAGTTACGGTGCCATGTCCCCCGGCGTGCCTCCGCCGCCCAGCCAAGCCGCCTCCGAGCCGCCGTCGGCGCTGGGTCCGGACGGCGTCACCGCCATGACTGTTCCTGTGCCCAACAGCAGCCTGCCGCCCATGTCAAGTTTCCGGGGCACGGGCGGCGCCGTGCCCTCCACGGGGCCGGCGGGGGCGGGCTCGGGGCCCGGCGCGCCCGGCAACCTAACCCCCGTCACCTCGGCCGTCATCCCGACGTCGAGCCCCGCCAACCCCTCCCTCTTCACCAGCCACCACTCGCCCAGCGGCGTGGTGCCCACGCCCGGGGACACCTTAGGAAAAGCGTTAGCCTCGGTGAGTTGGAGTGTCCGAGCAGCCCTGCCCGGCCCTGCCCCGGTCACAGTATACCTGGGTAAAGTCCTACGGGACTCCAGGCCTGGGCTAAAAGTGGAGGATCCATACTCGGTCCAAAGTCACGTCAAACTGCTATCAAAATTTCTTCCTGGAATTGTTTACAACCAACACTAAGACAGAAAGTATATAAGCTCTAACTTTAAGAAAAAAAATCAAATTTTGACCTCTATTGTTTTTAGAACTTTTGTCTATTTTTGCCATTTATCGAGGCTTTTTCACCTGCAGTATGGGTTCTCTTTTTTTTTGTCATATTTCTATAAGACTAATTTTTGTTTTGTTTGGGAGCTTACCAGAATATGACTCAGTCAAATGGGATTCTGTGTCATTTGCATGTGGGCAATGAATTTAATTTGGTGTTGGAATTGAAACCATTGGCACATTCCATCTATTATTTTAATCTTAAAATTAGAAATGAAAAATTGTCTGCCCAGCTGAATTTCAACTGTTGATTTTCAAGAGACGATTGGAACTCATGATTTTAGAGCTATACACTTACAGTGGTATGGCATGTGCCAATGGCCTTATTTAGAATGTTCTATCATTCTCCAGAAAGTACTGTGCAACTTCCCTTCCCTTCCCGCCTCCATCATCCCTGTCCTCTACCCCTGTCCCAAAATGACACTGCTCCTGTTCCACTCACCCCACCTCATTCTGCCGGTTCATTCTGGGGCTTGGTTCTTATCTCTAACTGCTACACCATACCAATTAACAAATTAGGGAATGTCCATAAATCACGTGAGGTAAATTTTGTCTTTTTTTTTTTTGGTGGCCCCCTTTCTATTGTGGAAGTGAATGAGCCAGTCTTGAGCTGGTTATGCTCTGAGAAGTCTCCTCCTCATTTTGAAATTGAACCTCACGTCATGTATGGCTACCCCTTAATTAAACTTAATGGTGATGGGTCGAATGGGTGCTTGGTGATGCGCAGATCTATCCGTCGGAGCACAGTGTGGCCAGCAGTTACAGTTCAAACCCATCTACACCCGTCAGCTCCCCTCCCCCTTTAGGGGGTGGTGGCGGGAGCGGGGCGGGGGGGCCCTCAGGGCCGTGGCCGTCCGGGGCTGGAGCCGGCGGCCCCCCCAGCGGGGCTAACCCCTCATCCCCACACTTTTCCTCAGCACCCCACCATCATTCTAACTTACATATGGTAAAGGACCTTTTTTTATTGTCAGTGGAATGAGTTGATTGCTCATAATAATAGTGTCCGCAATTTTTCAAATTATTTTTTTTTTGTAATTTCTATATAATGGTCAAGTGATGACTGACTTTATGGGCTTTCAATTTGTTCCATCTGAAATTTATTTGGTTTTGTGTGTCAAAGTGTGAGGGAACCATACGTGCTTTTCCCCCCTTACAGTGTGTATTTTATGTCACTAGTCCCAAGCACTGTGCTCTGGGTTGTAGTCTTTCACAGAATGTTCACTCAAGTCTGACTTATGGTACTTCTGAATCTTTAAAAGCTTTGCTCTGCTTTAGGTTGTTCTATATTTGCTTTAATAGAGCTCAAGTTCATTCTTGGACAAGTTTAATCGTGCTTAGTTTGATGTTTATTTCTGTGAACTCTCAATTTTTTATTGAAACTCTAGTGCATGATTTTTGAAATACGTTTTTTCTTTATGATTTAAGTTGTAGCTTTTTGGGATTATGTTCCTTATTTTTAGTTTGTTTTTAATTTTCGTTGTTTGATTTGTTTGGTTTTTTTTGTTTTTGTTTTGTTTGGCACATGCTCCTGACACACTAACAGAGCGCGCCCCTTGAAGAAAGATTGGATGCAGCGATTGGGTTCCTTCGGGATCATAGTGAAGTAAGACATGCATCATTTGTCATTTTTTTTGTTTATCAGTCTCATTTGTTTTTCTGCTTAGTGAGATCCGCCTGCCTTTTCTATTTCATTTTCAAAGCTTTGCTAGCAAAGCTGCCTTAGTATTGATTGCAACCGTTTAATGCTAAAGATGAAGTACCTGTGTTGTGTTCCTTGTTCTTTACTGCGTTTGGGAAACAAATGCAATAGTTCATCTGATATTTTCAGAAATCTTACTAATCTTGTTGTTAACTTACATGGAAAGTAACTTCTGAACCTGTTCTTTTGTCTCTCACACTGTAATCTGACACAAATGAGAAGGGTGCTTGTTGAAATGGAGCCCCCAGAGTCCCAGATCAAGACCAGACCAGTGTAGCACCAGTGTTGCAGTTGTGACAAAGCGGTAGCAGTTCCTTACTCCTGCCTCTGGGTGCTCTTCCTGTTTGTGTCGGAGTATAAGTGCTCTATATTTTCTGCAATCACCTTCACTGTGGACTAATCAACAGGATGCGTCTCAGCTTTCTTCTCTCTAACTTAATTAACCAAACCCTACCATTGTTCCCTTGCAACTCAATGCATCAGCAATGTTCTTACCAAGGTTTTTGCCTCTAGGGAACTCGCATGGAAGAACGATTGGATGATGCCATAAATGTTTTGAGGAACCATGCTGAGAGCCAGCAGCTCCTGGGCCATGGTCTTCCTTTACCACCACATCATGGGCATCATACACATTCCACCAATGGTCTCCTTCAACCCCCAAATTACCATCACGACCCTTCCTTAGAACCCCACCTGGTAAGTGAAATTCACTTCATCATCATGTTGTTCACTTCCATAGCTGTTTAGTTCATGTCTTCTTCACTTCAACTTGTTTTATTCAAATCTCTTCATTCTTTTGCAGGCCAATGCACATCCAGTGACCCCTGGCAGTACTGTGCCTTTACCCCAAGGATCATACCCTGGGCTATCGTCAACTCCAGATGAGGCCCCAGTAAAGTTAGAGCGAGGCAGTAAGTTTTATTTTTTATGTCAGTGATTGGATTCCTGTAACTTTTAGACTCTGTTTTCACTTATGTTGTTTGCTTTCAGGAAAACGAAAAGACCCACCAGACAGCACAGACACTAAACCAAGTAGCAGCGACCTTCTCGGAAGCCTTGTTAATTCAACTTCAAGCAATAAAGCAGGATCAAAGAGATCACGAAGGTACTTTGAATTGACCATACACGTTTTATGGTGGTTTTTTGTTTGTAGAATATGAAAATGTTTTGTTCTTACACTAACTAACAAACTTTTGTGTGCCTGCAGTTGTTCAAGTGCGGATGATGACAATGAAGATCCTGCAACTAAAGCGCACAGGGAGAAAGAAAGACGTCAAGCCAACAATGTCAGAGAAAGGTAAGTCTTACAATCTTTCATGCAACTTTCTCCATATTCCATAGTTTGAGATGTAGCCAAATTCGTCTTGGTAATCTGAACTGTTCAATATATCTACACTTCACATTTGTTCATTCATTGAATGAGAGCATGCTTTTATTTTTATTATTTGGGGGCTGGTGGGAGGTTTAGTTTTCAAAGTTGTACTTTCTCATCATAGTTCAGGAGAATTTTGTGAACCTAGCTTAATCCCATAATCTCCCTGCACTTTCTCTCGCCTCCATTCATTCCTTTTAAAGTATGAACTGAATATTTTTCAAAACATTTGAAGAGAACGGACTTGAAATATTTGCTCTTTGGTTTACTGAAAGAAGTAAAGTAATATATACTTCATTTTTTAAGCCAGAGCTGGACTTGATAAATTGTTGTATGGTTACATAAATTTAAAACAGCTCCTCCGTTTCTTTGTAATAATATACTTAAAGGAATAGCTGTTTTAAAATATGTGTTGCTAATCAGCTTTTATGCAGTGCACTTTTCATGGTTCAAGTCCTAAAAGCACTCAATACATATGCACTCTGCATATTTTAATTTGTGTGTAAGGCACATCAAAACACTTTAAGGGACTGCAAAATTTACAAGTGGTAGCATTTCTCTAGTGGATAATTTATGTTCAACATCTTGGACTCTTTGATTGCTGTTGTCTTGGAAAGCGCTGAACGAAAAAGCAGCAACAGTGAATATTGGTGAAAACATGTAATTACTACAGTTTTGAATTTCTTTTCCACCTTCTGAGTTTGTCGGATTTTGTTCTGTGCCGATTATTGCTGGTGTCATAGAACGATTCTATAAAGCTGGAATGGGTGCCGAGTGGTTAGAGGGTTGAACCGTGAAGGTCACTGGCCATGATATTTCAAAGACACGCTTTCTGATGGCGTTTTGTTTTTCCCTCAAGCGAGGACGATATTGATGACCCGGTTCTTAAGGCTCATCGAGAGAAGGAACGAAGGCAAGCCAACAATGCCCGAGAGAGGTAATTGTCGAGGTTGTCATGAAGCTGCTGAGAGCACTCCGCAATGGAGTGTAGCCATTATTAGGCCTCCACTGGGTTCTAGGAGTATATTTACATTTGCATTGGGATCCATTTACTTTAGGCAAACAGTAGACCAGCTTCCATAGCATTATCAAAAATGCCTTTTTTCTTTGGGTCCCTGGGGTCTCTTGGAATAATGTTGCAGAACAACTTGAGAAAGATCTCTTAGTCAAATCCAAATGCTTTCATGAATCAATCTACTGTCAGTCGAGGGTGTTCATTGGTGCATTTACTACTTACTTTGTTCTAGATGGATTACATGCTTTCACAATTTTTCTATTATTCACTGTTAGTCTCTTTAAAATAATTCTTGCTTTTGAACATTATTTTCATCTTTACTTGTAGAATGCATGAGAAGTCACTGAGTCCTAATAACTATGTGCAGTTTTCCAAATGAAAACACAGGCTGCTAAAGAAACTAAAGCTTATAGTAACCCTTTATGTGTGTCTTTTCTTATCAGGATACGTATCCGAGACATCAATGAAGCCCTAAAGGAATTAGGACGAATGTGTATGTCTCACTTGAAGACGGACAAACCTCAGACGAAGTTGGGCATATTAAATATGGCTGTAGAAGTGATAATGTCGCTTGAGCAGCAAGTTCGGGGTAAGATATTTTTCTCAATTACTCTTGTTATCCAAATTTGATTGATACTATGTCTTAAATATTTGCATGGTTTTGTGTTTCAGAACGAAATTTAAATCCCAAAGCTGCCTGCCTAAAGAGACGGGAGGAAGAGAAGGCCGAAGATAATACACCAAAGCTGGGGGGAGGGCACCATCTAGGACACGGACCTGGGCCCCATATGGTTCAGCCACCTTACCACACCATGCCACCGGTAAGTTTCAGCCCCACTTCTCACTTATTACTGATAAATTGGATTGGTGGTTTATTGAGTATTAATTGTGTCTTCTTCCCTTATTAGTTGCAGGGTCCCCCATCAACCTTGCAACACAATCCGCCTGGGCCCCAGTAGCACATAAAGACAAGATAGAACCTCTGTTCTTCAATCAAGCCATACCAAAAGCACACTGCGTGGAGTTATTTTTGTTGTCTTTTTCTATGAAAGAAAAAAGAAGATCATGTCGAGTGATGTTTCTGCCTAGTACAACTTAAATTAGAACCTGTGGACAAAGTGTAATGACATTTTATGAAATGTTCACCTGTGACAAAAGTGAATGGGAAAATGTTATGTATCTAGTGGAGAAGTGTTGATTTTCTGTCTGTCTGGCATCACAGCACCGTTTTGCCAAGGTGCATGTACTGTGAAAGTTGTCTGTTGCCCTGTAAATAAACATACTCACCATGATGTCAAATGTCATTAAATTTTCATTGTGTTGGCTTTGTTCCAGAAGCTGATTTAATGATGAGATTGTGTATATTGTTCGTGCAATTACAGGTCCTACACTTAGTTATACATAGTACTTGTTACTGACCATTTGGCATCACCAGTACCTGTAAACGATGCAAGCACTTCACCCATTGTGATAAAGAGTCATGACCTACATGCATTTTAGTCATTGGCTTCCAAGCTCTAAATTTTGTTATCAATTCTTTTGTGTTTGTGGGTTACTCAAGGTGGTGCTTGATCATCTCATAGCTATCATCTTTGTTTTGTGATTGGCTCTCTTCCTAACTTACTTTGTCTCGCGTCAACTTAACACTTGTGAAAAATGTGTTTGTACCTGTGAGAGACTATTTCTAGAAGCCATATCAGTGGCTTCTCTGTTTTGTATCCTTTTAAACAAAAATAAAATTCAACCATTGACCTAGATTTGTCATCATGAATTTAAGTACAATAAGCATCAAGAGCAAGTGTTGGGCTGTGCCTGTGATTGTACGGAATTTAGATAAGATGAAAGACACGGTTGCCTCATTGCTTCTCTTTATCTTGCCCAGGGTAATGGTTTCATGTGTTTGCTCCTTTTGCCAGAATTTGGCTGTAACTTTATAGATGTATTATAACTGATCATGCATAGGAAAATTTTATTACTGTTTTATTTTTTTCTTTCAAACCTGTGTTGTTGTGCATCCCTAGCATGTTTAGTCCAAAGTAAGATTCATATTCTTGCAAGCAATGATAAGGATCTTATCATTGGTTTGTTTCTCAACTGAACTTGTATTTAGACATGCCTTTTCATAACAATTCTTTGCTCTGTAGAAAGCACAGGAACAAGGACTTATGACAAGTCATTTTCACTTCCTTGTGCTTTGTTACTGACCAAAGAATTGATCAATTCAATTCTTGACTAAATGAGAAATTAAACCAAAGGAACACTGCACAGAAAAATTTCCTGTTCTATTATGAATAGAACTGGTAAAAAATCATCGTAAAAGTGTTCTGCTTGATTTTTATGACTGTATAGTGCTTCTGAGGGTTGTTTCTCAGGCAAAAGAATGCATTCATTCTACAGTAAGGAAACCAAAGCTTATTGCATGTTGTGGCAGTTTCTCTATGCCTTGTCATGAAGCTGTTGTTCAATTGGTTTCTCTCATTTTAATTTTATTTAATTTATCTTATGATGCTGTTCCTATTGAACTGGACTTCTTAATGATGCCTGTTAAATGACTGTTACAATTGTTTGCTGATGTAGCTTTTAAGTTCTTTACTTTTCTTGTCTTTTCAAACTAGATAGGCATTGTTTCTGTTTGCATTTATATCTGTGTAAGTTTATGTGTCATCTTTTTTATTTTTTTTTTTTTATTTTTTTTAAGTTAGCTGCAATTCCATGCTTTTGACTTTTGGAGAATTTTAAATTTCAGTCAGTATTTTTTTAAAGCAGAGTGTTGGTTTTCAATTTTGCTTCTCTTTTTCCTATGAATGAAATCAAACTTGCAGCACAGATGTGAAACAAAAGCTGTTTTCCTGCATGACTGGGGCTTAGACATGATTGAGCTCTTGGGGCCAGTCTCTGTATTAAAAGCTTTTAAAAGTACCTAAACGTACTTGTTCCTCATTATTATTATTATTATCATTATTATTATTGTAAGAGCATAATCTTCCAAAATATTGCCTTAAAGAGGCCAAATTATTTGTTAGTAATTTATTTGAGGGCAGTGCTAAACCTACCATGACTATTATGGAAGTTTTCAGCTCCAGGATCATGTCTCCTCCCATTTTGATCCTAGTTTTATCATAATGACAGGTATTATTTTCTCTGATGCGGAGTAAATGCATATATGTTACATTTTGTGTGTTGAAAACCATGTCAACTGAGGCAAGGGTGTCTTTAATTTCATTTCTAAAGAGATTGTAAGGGCAGTCAGTCTTAAAACATGCAAGCAGCATTTTTTTATTTAGAAAGTGTACATTGTAAATTTGAATATTGGAGAAAGAAACGTCCACATTGTGAATACGAAATATGTGATTGATTTAATGTACAATGTTTGTTAATAAGGTTTGATTTGTCAGTAGGGAGGATTAAACCAAACCTTTGGAGCAAGCATGAAATGATTTGAATGTACTATGTAAAAAGTAATAGCATTACATATAGTAAAATAATGATAATACTGTATTTTTCATGATGTATGAGTGTGTTGTTAAACTTATAATTACACAATTAGTGCTCTTACCCAAATCCAGATTGAGAGAGTGAATGAGAGTTAGAGAGATTGTCGTTTAGTTTTTTATTATTATTTTCCTTTTCTTAGAAAATCAAATACTGTGTTCATTAGGTTGGAAGTACTGTTCTGTTGCGGTTTAAAACTTACTAAATGATGATGTTAAAGCGTTTATTATGTACTGCACTAAATTATGTAATTTTTTTACAGAAAGGAATATGTGCATACAATTGTAAATCAACTAATGCAATTCTTTATGGATGTGAAATTTTCAAAGCAAGTTTTATGTAAAACCATCGAAGCTTCTAAGGGGATCAAACTAATGCAGCAAACAGTTTGGCTTTTGTTTTCATTTCTAAAAAAAAAATAAAAACACAGCCTTAAAGAAATTGTCATATTCTTCCGTTATAGTGAGAGAACTGTTTTAAGTGCAAATGTTTTTTTATTCTTTTCTTTTCTGAAAATATATGTGCCATTTTTCCATATTGCATTTCTTTTCTTCAACCCCATTCCGATGTTATTGCTGAAGGAAAAGAGACACACCACAAAAGACGCAAGAATGGGTTACTACTTTCAATACGTAAACGTTTCTAGTGAAACCTCCTCAGATTTGTCTGAAATTCGTTTAGGACGTTGCTATGGGTCTCAGATAAAGACATCCAGCGCCCAATGGTCTTTGACACATTCTATTTGGTGTGAAAATGACTTTCCCCATGATGCAAGTTGAGTTGAAGTAGCTGTGAAGAGTGTCTTGCCTACCTTTACAGCGCACACTCAAAAGCATTCTAGTTTTTCGCCAGAAAAACACCGTTCAGGGCTTAGATGACCAGTGAAATAGTGTCAGGAGTCTAGGGAGAGTACTCCAGCACAACATACCCGAATTTGGGCTATTTTAAATTCTTTGCCCAAAACATGAAAAGACCAACATTTTTTCGACGAAAACGGTCGACCACCGCCGATCTGTCTGAAATTCATATGGAACGTTGCTATGGGTCTTAGAAACAGACATCCGTTGTCCAATGGTCTTTGACGCATTCTATTCGGTGTGAAAATGACATTGCAAGTTGAGCTGCGGTACGGTCAAGAGCTGTGGGCGATGGGTTGCCGACCTTCACGGCGCATGCTCAAAGCAATCCAGTTTTCGCCAGGAAAAACATAGTTTAGGGCCGAAATGACCAGTGAGCGGCGCATGCTCCAATGACTCCAGCTCCGCCTCTGCTCGTGGTCAGAATGGCGGGACTTCGCGCTCATGCATCTGAGAGAGAAAGCTACATAGTGTCGCGCCACCAAGGTAGGCCACCTATTTGACACGCTGAGATGGGTTGGGGACCGACGGCATCGTCAAGGTAGGCCACCCATTTGACACGCTGCTGCAAAAGCAGTGCTTGCGGCGGAAAATACACGCCCAGTCGGGATTTGAACCTAAGTATTTCTAACCACGACCGACACCTCAGCCCACTGAGCCACCGAGGCACCAAATGATGATTGCTTGTCCAAACTTAGAGTGATGGTACCGAATTCAAGCAGACAACTGAGGAAAATGTTCCTGCACCTGGGATTCGAATCCAAGTGCTTACTCGGAGCGTCTACTTCCTCTGCGCTCTCAGCCGCCGAGACATTGGTAGCTGTTTGCCGATGTTGATACCGGTGGTACGGGATTCAAGGTTCAAGGTTCAACTGAGGAAAACATTGCCTCTTCTCTGGGATTTGAACCAGTTTCTTCTCTCGGGGCGGCCGCTACCTCTGCGCCCTGAGCCACCAAATCTTACAGTCTCTCCTTGCCCAAATTCGGTTATCTGATTCTTCGAGAAGTAAACTGAGAGTTTGGGAACCAAACTGAGGAAAAGATTGGAGACTGTGGGACTCGAACCCGAGCTTTTCACTTGACAGCCGGCTCCTTAGCCCTCTCAGCTACCAACTCGCTAAGAAGATGTTGCCACGAACTTGTACTGCTGATTGACACACGCTGACTCCTGCTCTGACTTTGCTGCGCTGCTGCGCTGACTTTGCGGAACCTTAACTGAGCATAGCTCAGGGCAGCACGCGCCCGGCTCGGCCAATCTGCAAAAGCTATTCAGGGCGACACGCTAACGGGTTAATCGCTGCAGATTTACCATTTTGTCTCGGCGTGGGTCGTCGGACAGAGAAAGGGGAGAGGGAGAGGGGAGAGGGGAGGACCAAGGCTGCGTTCGGCACAGCCTCGGCTAGGGAGGCCCGGGTCCCGTGATGGATCATCGGAGTGTGTGTGTGTGTGTGTGTGTGTGTGTGTGTGTGTGTGTGTGTGTGTGTGTGTGTGTGTTTTCAGAGAGAGAGAGATGAATAGACTCTTCTGAATCTCACGCGGCAGGCGCTGTGTTGCGGATTCCACCGCCTCTTGGCCGCTTGGGAGGGAAGTCCCTTTCCCCTCCCGTTCCACAGTGGGCCAAGACCGGCGAGGCGGTCAAACCCCAGACGCGTTTTGAGCTCAGAGTCACTAAATGGGAACCGAACGTGTGACCCCATCAATGGATTGCTCTCAGGACGAGGAGTCCATTGGTGGGGTCACACGTTCGGTCCGCGTCTTGTTCAGCGACTCTGGAGCTCAAAACGCGTCTGGGGTTTGGCCGCCTCACCGGTCTTCTGGCCCACTGTGCGTCCCCTCCCCTCCGCGCCCAGTCGTAGGTCGGCTCGCGGAACTCAAACGGAATGAAGCAGGTCGGGGGCCGAGGCAATGACAGCCAATGGTGCCCTACGGCCCTGCGGTCTAGGCCCGCAGAGCTGGCAAGCTGGCAGAGCTGGCGTAGGCCTCGTCCCGGCTGAGGGTCCCCGCGGTGCAGGCAGGGCAGGGCTGGCGGGGCCGTGGGCTTGTCCGTAGGCTTGGCCGTAGGGCAGGGCGTGGGTGGCGGTGCAGCAGGCCCCGCTGCCAACCTAGCCAACACTCCATCCAGGCGACAGTGCTACCAACCTGACGTGTGGCCGCTGTGCGTTCGGCGGCTGGAAAAGGCGCATCTTGGTCCGCGGCCGGCCTGCGCCAGCCTTAGCTGGCGTTGTTAGGTTGGCACGGCTGCCCTGGTTGTCGGCCCGCGGCGTTGGCGGCCCTGCGAGCGGTCCTGCAGCATCATTCCGTCTCTCTCGCACCCAACGGGACGCCCCACCAGTGCGAGAGAGACGGAGCGACTCTCGGCATGAGGCTGCAGGACGTCCAGGACGTCCAGGACCCCCAGCCTGCCCAGTGAATGTGGCGTGTGGCGCGGTGTGGCGGCACTTGGTCCAGTCCAGTGACACAGTCAGGACGCGTGGGGCACGTCGCGCCGGTCAGGCAGCCAGCCAGCGGGCACCAGCGGGCACCAGCGGGTCAGGGGGTTACCAGTCCGAGGAGCGCAGTGTGTGAGTGCCTCGCGCGTCTGTGTGAGTGGCGACGGCGGTCGGAGTGATTGCCAACGCGAGTGCGTGTGAGTGCCATCAGCGAGACTGTGCACCGGGCGGCTTCGAGTAAGATGTCCTGGATTCGACCCGCAGGGAGTGCACAGTGGATTTGCCAGAAGACCGGCGCAGGCCACCAAAACTCTAGACGCGTTTTGAGCTCCAGAGTCGCTAAACAGAACTCTGAACGTGTGACCCACCAAGAGATTTCTTGCTCCCAGAGCAATCCATTGGTGAGGTCACACGGTCTGTTCGAGTCCCATTTAGCGACTCTGGAGCTCAAAACCCGTCCGGAACTCTGACCGCCTCCACCGGTCCTCTGGCCCACTGTGAAGTGCCTAAGTGGTTAAGTCAGTGGTGAAGCATTTGCCTAAACTGGCTGTAATGTGATGTCATATACTTATTTTGGACTCGTTCACTGTTCGAACTCTGCTAGGGCTAGAGCGCTGTCTCGAGTCCTGGTCAGGAGTTTTGCGGACAAAACACAGAATCAATTTGCTCCTGAGTTAAATCGCGGGAAAAAAAGCCGGGAAACTGCATGAAAACTGCCGCGTTCCCTCGCCATTTTCCCGAGGTCAACGAACGCACGAAACGGAAGCATAATCAGCAAGTCTGTGCATAAAGAGCCGTGAACCAAATCGACCAATTTCTCTATTACGCGTCGTAGAGAACACTGTTGCCCGCGGCCCCCGCAACCCCCGCCCCTCCGGCCCGTGGCCCCCGCGCCGCTCGGACGCTGAGAGCTCTCGTCTTGTCTGCTTTGCGGAGAACATGATTAACGGGCACTTTCAACGAGGATGGTGGGATATTGAAAACGTTTCCCGCGTCTTAGGTCAGTTGGATTTATTACAGCTCCAGTCGGTTGTCCAGGCGCAGTGGGCCAGAAGACCGGCGCCGGCGGCCAAAACTCCACACGCGTTTTGATTTCCGAAGTCGCTAAACAGGACTCGAACCGAACGTGTGACCCCCACCAATGGATTCCTCGTTCGGAGAGCAATCCATTGGTGGGGTCACACGTTCGGTTCAAGTCCCATTTAGCGACTCTGGAGCTCAAAACGCGTCCGGGATTTGTGCCGTGCCGCCTCCACTGATCTACTAGCCCACTGTGCAAGGGTTGTCCATTTTTCTCAGAATTTTTTTGTGAGTGCGCTAGCTGCTGGTGGTCACTTGATAGACTCGGAGGCACGGGCTCGGTCTTCATTACCTCCTGCGCGCTTCAGCAGCCCGCTTGCGCTGCTTGCGTAAGGATGGCCCGGCTCGGGTGACAGTGTGGGCACCGCACACCGCGCCTGCACCCGTGCTGCATTTCAGTTGCTGCCAACGAAGACGCGGGCTGTGAATGACTGACTGACCGACCGTGTCGCACTGCGCGGTGTTGCCAAGGGGTGTGGTGTGGTGCGCCTACCAGTGTGGCACCGTCCTGACACCCGTCCGCGCGCGTCCGCGCCTCAAGGCGCAGCGTGACGTAACAACTCGTGGAGTAAGGACAGCTGGTAGCCCTGGAAGGGTGGCAGCCCAGCGCACAGTTGTTGGCAGGCGGCCACAACTCCAGACGCGTTTTGAGCTCCAGAGTCGCTAAACAGGACTCGAACCGAACGTGTGACCCCACTAATGGATTCCTCGTTCGGGGAGCAATCCATTGGTGGGGTCACACGTTCGGTTCGAGTCCCATTCAGCGACTCTGGAGCTCAAAACGCGTCTGGGGTTTGGCCGCCTCCACCGGTCTTCCGGACCACTGTCCAGCGGCCAGCAGGGTGGCCTACCTCAGCCTGATGGCTATTGCTGGCCGCCCGCCGCGTTGTGTCGCCTACTTATTGATCGGACTGTCCCATCGGGGCCGCCCTGGTGGGCTATGCCCTGGACGCACATGATGATGGATCTCTTCCTACCGCCAACTCCCCCAGACAGGCCGCGCTAGCCGCGCCTTGCAGTGCTGGCCGCGCATAGTGCTGACGGGTTCCGCGTGGATTGATAATTGCCATTGTCGCGAGCAGATTGATCCCGGACACTGTCGCTCCGTCTCTCTCGCACTGGAGGAGCGCTACGCAGGGGTGCGAGAGAGACAGGGAAGGGTGACGCTCGCACTGGTCAGCCAATCAGCGCACCGCCTTTACTCTCTGGTCGCTCCTCTGAGTCGATCTCGATCCATCTCTGCCAGTCGATGAGTCGAAACCGCTGGTTGTGCTCGCCTATCCGTCTATCCGTTCGCGCCGCGCCGCGCCGCCCCCTCCCAGGAAGAGTGTCGTCAGGGCAGGCGGGCAGGGCCGGGCAGGGCCGGGCAGGCCTAGTATAGCGCTGGCCTTGGGGGCTGGTGCGCGCGCCGACCAGAAAGGCCGGACAATTTTAAATTTCCCGCCATCTCCTTCTTGACACGGCACGACACTTCGGAGCGCTCGCCGGCCCTCGAGCTTTCAGCCACCTTGATGCCGCCGAGGCCAGCAGACTGATTCCGAGAAATGTTTTCGTCGCTCTGTCTCTCTCGGACCCGAACGGGGCGCCCCACGAGAGCGACAGAGACAGCGCGGTGAAAACGACTATGGAGAACCTAAACGGAAGTTCCGTGCATTTTCCGAACTCAATTTTCTGTACTTTTCCGTACTAGAGAACGAATTTTTATTTTCACGGTGTATACCGTTGTGCGTTACGTCGACATGTAAAAAAAGAACAGCTACGTCGAGTGAAGTTTCTCATAGCCGGGCGGGAATTTTTTTTTGGCGCCCACAGGGAGGAGGTGAGATGCGAAGGCGGTGCCGTTGAGAAGCGACGCGTCCACATTACTTCCGGTCAGCCACTTCCGCCATGAACGCGCTCCACGCCTACGCCGCCTGCGTCCTCTTCGCCGCCGCTTCCGGTAAGATAAGTTACCTTGCCGATCGGGCAATGCAAATTTTCCTACACCTTTTCCCAATATATTTTATTTTGTCCATTCTCCATTTAATCAACTTATTTAAACATTAAAATTGTTGTTTTTGTTTGCAGCCACCGGCTTCCTGAACGGCGAGGAGGAGGGCCCCGTCAAGCTGAAGGCGACCGTGGGCGACTCGGTGGTGTTCAACTGCCGGCTCGAGTTCCCCAACGACCTCCCCATCCCCTACATCATGCACTGGAACAAGGGGGTGAGTGCAGTCAGTCACAGCGCGGGGCACAGTGGGCTAGAAGGCCGGTGGGGTCAAACGTTCGGTTGGAGTCCTGTTTAGCGACTCTGGAGCTCAAAACGCGTCTTGAGTTTTGGCCGCCTCCACCGGTCTTCTGGCCCACTGTGATGAGTAGCAGGTCTCTGACCCCGCGCCCACTAGCTCTCTGTGACCAATCACCAAACCCTCGCCGTGATCGAAATGTCACGAAGGGCTCCACTTTCGTCTCATTGTGTTTTCAAAATGATTTTTTTTTCGTTTTTTTTTCTTGCTTTTCTGCGTCACTCTGCGTGCCCGATTTGCCCCAACTGCCCCCGATGTGTGCCACTGTGCGGCACAATGCACAACGCATTCCGCTACAACGATGCAACACTGGGCCGTTCGGGACGATTGAACGCGTATGCAGTGCAGTGCGATTGTCGCAGCTAAACGCGTCCGACACGCCACGACCAGCGGGACTGTCTCTGTCGCTCTCGCACCCGTGCGGCGTGCACCAGGGGTGCGAGAGAGACACAGCCGTGCCGCCTGGTAGCGCCTGGTAGCGCCTGCCCAGTCCGCCCGCGCCATCCCGTGTGGCCCGAGACCTGGTAAAGATGGTGTTATTTCGGCGTTCTTCGGACTCCAAATGTACTTTAAATTAACACCAAAAGGACACCATAGAAGCACGCTAAAATAACTCCATAATTACATCAAATGCATTTGGTGTCAACGCGGCGTTATTATGGAGTTTTTTTAGTGTAAAAAGGCTCGTTTTTTCACCAAAAGAACGCCATAATAATACCAAAGCAGAGGACAGCCATAGAGAAAAATGACAAAAGAGAGACGGCAGGTGTTGCTCCCCAGATCTGCGACACGGCAGTTTCGTGCGGAACCGCTTGGCCAGAGCGACTCCGAGAAGATGAGCCGCACGGCAGCTATATGTCGTGCGTTGTGCCGCGCTCGGACTTAGCCCGAATCCCCGCGGCTGGAGCCCAATCTTGTTTCTATAAACATGAACTCGTACAGTGTAGCAGACCATTACAGGTTCCGTCATGTTTATAGAAACAAGATTGGGCTCCAGTTCTATGTTCTATAAACATGACAGGACCTGTAATGGTCTGCTACACTGTACGAGTTCATGTTTATAGAAACAAGATTGAGCTCCAGCCGCGGGGATTCGGGCTAAGTGCGAGCGCGGCACAACGCACGACATATAGCTGCCGTGCGGCTCGTCCTCCCGGACTCGCTCTGGCCAAGCGGTTCCGCACGAAACTTCCGAGTCGCAGATCTGGGGATCAACACCTGCCGTCTCTCTTTTGTCATTTTTCTCTATGGCTGTCCTCTGCTTTGGTATTATTATGGCGTTCTTTTGGTGAAAAAACGAGCCTTTTTACACTAAAAAAAACTCCATAATAACGCCGCGTTGACACCAAATGCATTCGATGTAATTATGGAGTTATTTTAGCGTGCTTTTATGGTGTCCTTTTGGTGTTAATTTGAAGTACATTTGGAGTCCGAAGAACGCCAAAATAACACCATCTTTACCAGGTCTCGGGCCACACGGGATGCTGCCTGCGGCTGCCCGCCTCCAACTCGCTCCAACTCGGCCCGCTGCTGCCTGAATAAATAAATTGGCCTGCAGGGGGAGGGGGAGGGGGGATGGCAAGAGCGCCAACGCGGCGTGGAGCGAAAGGTAAGAAGGGCCGCGTGGCACAAGGGCCATCCTTTCTGCAGCTGCAAGTCTTTCCGCCAATGCGTTTTCGCGCCAAAAGTTTTCTCGCCATAGGTTTGCCCGCCATCTTTCCGCGCCATGGGTTTTGGCGGCACGTTTTCGCGCCCTATTTCCCCGCCACAGGTTTTGGCGGCACGTTTTCGCGTCCTTTTTCCCCGCCACAGGTTTTGGCGGCACGTTTTCGCGCCCTTTTTCCGGCCACAGGTTTTGGCGGCACGTTTTCGCGCCCTATTTCCCCGCCACAGGTTTTGGCGGCACGTTTTCGCGCCTTATTTCCGCGCCACAGGTTTTGGCGGCACGTTTTCGCGCCCTTTTTCCCCGCCACAGGTTTTGGCGGCACGTTTTCGCGCCTTATTTCCGCGCCACAGGTTTTGGCGGCACGTTTCCGCGCCCTTTTTCCCCGCCACAGGTTTTGGCGGCACGTTTTCGATACCTCGCCCGGTAATTAGCGCCGCCATGCACTCCACGGCTCGTCTGCCAGGCCGGACTCATTGCATCGGTGTGCTGCGGTCGCTGACGGCCCCGCCCATCCCCTGCACTGCAGAATCACCTCGTCGCTCTGTCTCTCTCGCACTCGCGGCTCAACCCGAAGGTGGCCGGGGTGCGCGCGAGAGAGAGACAGAGCAACGTCAGTGACTCTTCGGAAGAGGCCGGCTGGCTGCACCCAGTGGTCCGTGACTCCGTGACGCGCCGCGACGCCGGCCACGCCCCGGCCGGCCCCGCGCCGACCATCCGGCTGCCGCCAAAAAACATTTTCACGTGGAAGCTGCTGGGACCTACTCACACTCTGCACCACCCACCCACACCCACACACACACTCACACACACGCAGACGCACTGGATGAAGCAAGTGATTGGCGGGACGGAGTGCGCCCGGTTTCGAGTCTTCCCCGAGTGGCGCGTGCCGCCCCCCGTCCCCCCCTCTCCCCGGCGGCTAAATGGGAGTTTTGATCCGCTCCTGCCCACATCCTGCACTGTCAGCGACACTGTCAGTGACGCCGTCAGTGACAGGCGACTTAATGCAAGCCGTGCAACGTTGACTTGTCGTCCGCGGGCGTGGCGCGGCGGCGTGGCGCGGCTGTGAGGCGAGGCGAGACACGAGGGCACGAGCCGAGGGCACAGACACGCCTTCTCATCATTTTTCAAAACGACCATCATGTTATTCTGGTGGATTATTGTTTTTTGACCCGTATGCGGGCAGCCCGTCTTTTTTCGTCCTCACGCCCTGCAGGCCCTGCTGGCTGCTGCGTGTTGGTGGCGGCGGTGAGGACGAAACAGGACGAGCAAGGCGCCTCGCGGGTGGGAGCGACGGACCGTTGCACAGTGGATTTGCCTTGCCGGTGGAGGCGGTCAAAACCCCGGACGCGTTTTGAGCTCCAGAGTCGCTAAATGGGAATCGAACCGATCGTGCGACCCCCACCAATGGATTGCTAGTTCGGAGAGGAATCCATTGGTGGGGTCACGGGTCACGAGATGGCATCATTGGGTCACACGTTCGGTTCGAGTCCTGTTTAGCGACTCTGCTCTGGAGCTCAAAACGCGTCTGGTGTTAGCCGCCGGCGCCGGTCTCCTGACCCACTGTGCATCGCCACGCCACCCTCGGCACTGAAGGGAGCCTCTCGCGGCGACGGTTCAAAGAATCTTCTTGTCGCTGTCTCTCTCGCCCTACCCTGCACAACGCCCCACGCCCCGTGAGTGCGAGAGCGGCGGCCTGGAGCCTCCATGGAGGGCCGTCGGCACGTCACGCCAGTGCAGTGCTGCAGCGGCGTGCAGCGGCCGCAGCCACGAACGTAGTTAGTTTGATGATGACAACGACGGCCAGCCGGCCGCGCCACGCCACGCGCGCAGCCCCCCACGCCACGCCACGCCACGACGCCAGCCGGCCGCCCCCCACGCCACGCCGCGCCACGCCACGCCACGCCACGCCACGCCACGCCACGCCACGCCACGCCACGCCACGCCCGCCACGCCACGCCACGCCACGCCACGCCCGCACGCCACGCCAGCCGGCCACGCCACGCCACGCCCGCCACGCCGCGCCACGCCACGCCACGCCACGCCACGCCGCCCGCCACGCCGCGCCACGCCACGCCACCCCCACGCCGCGCCACGCCGCACGCCACGCCGCCGCGCGCGCCACGCCACGCACGCCACGCCACGCCCCGCACGCAGCCACCACCCATGCGGCCGCGCCCGCCTAGCCCCGCGCGAGGGAACCACTTCATGAGCCTTGCCGCTGCCCGGCGAGGCTCGCGACCCCGCCGCCCCAGCACAAACTATGTTGTCACTGGCAGGGTTTCGATTACCGGTCCAGACGGTCTGTTCCTTCAATCCTTTTCGCAGGGCTGCAGACTGATTCTGTGAATCGTCTTCATCGCTCTGTCTCTCTCGCACTCATGGGGCGTTCCGTTTAGGTGCGAGCGAAACCGAGCGACGAAAACGACTGTCGGAATGAGTCTGCTGGCCGCGGGCCGGCCGGGGCTCGCGTGCTGCTCCTGGTCCTAGGCCAGTCCTAGGCGAGGCCGAGCTAGCCGAGCGGCAGGCCCTCATCGCGCTGCCCTTCGCGGCCCACGACTTCCGGTCTGAGCGGCGGGGGGTCTCAGGGTGTTTCCACACATGTCGCATCTCAAGCAGCCAAGCCGTGGCCGACCGGGCATAAGTGGTCGCTAATACAAATTGCACGACTTTGCCGCGTTCGAGAGTCCGAGCACAGCCTCGCCGTTCGCAAATAGAGTATTGTCATTTCAAAAGAATAATAATGGCTTTGAAAATGTTCGCAGGGCAGCACGGTGTTCTCGTGGGCGGACGGCCAGCTGTCCGCCGAGGACCCCTACAAGGGCCGCGTCTCGCCGGCGCACGACGGCGTGCTGCCCGGCGTGGCGGGCTCCGGCGTCGGCGCCATCAACCTCACCAGCATCCGCGAGTCGGACAAGGGCTGGTACGAGTGCCGCGTGCACTTCCCCAACCGGACGCCCAGCACGCGCCTCAACGGCACCTGGTTCTTCCTCGACGTGGACGGTCAGTTTCATTTCGATAACGGCAAGGGAAATTGGAAATATGTTAATATTTTGAAAAATTGTAAAAATGTTGAAACTGACACATGACTGTTGGATTGTGAAAATGGTTCACATGTTAACAAACGGTGGATCACTTACCTTGTCCTGCTGATGAACAGTGGGCCAGAAGACCGGTGGAGGCGATCAAAACTCTAGACGCGTTTTGAGCTCCAGAGTCGCTAAACAGGACTCGAACCGAGCGTGTGACCCGGTGTGACCCCACCAATGGATTCCTCGTTCGGAGAGCAATCCATTGGAGGGGTCACACGTTCGGTTCGAGCCCTGTTCAGCGACTCGGGAGGTCAAAACGCGTCTAGAGTTTCGGCCGCCTCCACCGGTCTTCTGGCCCACTGTAACGGCGAAAACGGCCTGCAGGCGGCACCCTGCTCGCCACGCCGCCCATCAACGTCACCACGCTGGAGGGCCAGACGGCGCACTTCTCGTGCATCACCAAGGACCGCAACAACCGCGTGACGTGGTACAAGGACGGCACGCCCATCTCCGACATCGTGGAGCTGCGGCAGCGCTCCTTCGTCTCGGACGACGGCTCGCTCACCATCGCGCCCACCGCCATGGGGGACCCCGGCGAGTACATGTGCGAGGTCTCGGACGGCTCCATGCGCCAGCAGGCATCGGCGCACCTGGACGTGCAGTGTAAGCAAAACATAGGCAGTAAGCAATGGTGAATAGGAAGTAGGGAATGGCAAAAAAGCAATTATAGCAAATAAGCAATGGGCAGTAGGCAATGTCATACAGGCAATGCCAAATAATCAGTGACCAGTAGGCAATGTCATACAGGCAATGCCAAATAATCAATGACCAGTTGGCAATGTCATACAGGCAATGCCAAATAATCAATGAATTGTAAGGCAATAGGCAATATCAAATAAGCAAATGACCAGTAGGCAGCAATGTGCATTGGGCAATGGGCATTAGGTGGCTAATCGTGCGCGCTCTCGCTTGCTCGCCGCAGACAAGGCCAAGGTGATGTACTCGCCGCGCGAGATGCAGCTGCCGTTCGGGCGGTCCGCCACGCTGGACTGCCACTTCCGCGCCAACCCGCCGCTCACCAGCCTGCGCTGGGAGAAGGACGGCTTCCTGTTCGACCCCTACAACGTGCAGGGCGTCTTCTACCGCCGCAACGGCTCGCTGTTCTTCAGCAAGGTGGACGAGACGCACCGCGGCCGCTACACGTGCACGCCGTTCAACGACCTGGGCACCGAGGGCCCGTCGCCCGTCATCGACGTGCGCGTGCAGCGCCCGCCCGTCTTCACCATCAAGCCGCACAACATGTACCTGCGCCGCACCGGCGACAGCGTGGCCATGCCCTGCGACGCCGTCAACGGCGGCGACACGGAGCGCCCGCTCATCGTCTGGTTCAAGGTTCAAATCCCGCCAGGGGCGCCACTGTTTTTTTTTTTTGTTTTTTTTTTTAGGATTTGCTTTGTTTTGCCTTGTTGTCCCACTGCTGCCACCGTGGTTCCTACCAGAGTAAGCGCATGGAACACTGATTGGGAGAGTCTTTTTCGTCGCCCCGTCTCCCTCGCACTCATGGGGCGTTCCGTACAGATGCGAGAGAAACAGAGCGACGAGAACGACTCTCGGAATCAGTCCGCAGCACAAGCCACAGCTGCTGGCCGTGGAGACGGCGACGATGTGGGGGAGGGGACCCATATGTCTGCATCGGCTTGATGGCCTAGAGCGGCGAGACGGTGCTCATTGGGCCAGCAGACCGGTGGAGGCGGTCAAAATCCCGGACGCGTTATGAGCTCCAGAGTCGCTAAGTGGAACTCGAACCGAACGTGTGACCCCACCAATGGATTCCTCGTTCGGTGGGCTCATCAGTGGGATCACACGTTTGGTTCGAGTCCCATTTAGCGAACTTCGATCTCAATACTCGTCCGGGAATTTGACCACCCCCTCCGATCTTCTAGCCCACTGTGCGTCCAGTGTACAGATTTTCTAAAAAAAAATGCTTTGTTTTTGTTTGCAGAAAGACGGGACACCGCTGCCGAGGTCGCGGATCACGATGGAGGGCGGCAACCTGACGCTGGTGGACATCGTGGAGGACGACCGCGGCATGTACCAGGTGCGCCAACAACAACAACAAATAGGACGACGACTGCGACACTGCGACAACTACACTACTGTTTTGGGCATTTCAAAATAACGTTTCAAAAACATTTCCCCAGTGCGTGGCGAGTAACGGCGCGGCCACCATCTCCGTGGAGACGGAGCTGGTGCTGGAGAACACGGCGCCGAGGCCGCCCTTCAACCTGCGCGCCGTGTCGTCCACCACGTCGGTGACGCTCACCTGGCTGCCCGGCCTGGAGCGGCCCGAGACGCAGCACTCCGTGTGGTGAGCCGGCTTGCTGTCTCTCTCGCACCCGCACGGCCCGCACGGCCCGCACGGCATGCGCTGTGCAGTGCGAGAGAGACAGAGCGACTGACTGTCTGGAATCAGCCGGAGCGCCTGCGAGGTGCGGGGTAGGCACCCCGTCACGCAGCCGTGTGTAGCGGGATGGCCTACGCGCACCTTCGCAGGCGCTCCACAAGTGTCTCTTCCAAATGCACAGTGGGCCAGAAGACCGTGGAGGCGGCCAAAAGTCTAGACGCGTTTCGAGCTGCAGAGTCGCTGAACGGGACTCGAACCGAGCGTGTGACCCCACCACCCTGATGGGAATTTATGGACGACTTTGGATGTCGTATTCTTGACGTCCAGGGACATCCAGGATGTTCCAATGACATCCACGGATATCCGGAATGTTTCATTCTGGAAGTCCCTGGATGTCAGCTCCTCACATCCAAACAGGTCCAACCACATCCACCGACATCCAAGCGACATCCAAACGTCATCCATTCACATCCAACGACGTTCCCTGACAGCCCAGCCACATCCATTCAGATCCACCGACATCCATATCCAGTAACGACCTCCACTGTCATCCGTTTGCATCCACCTGCATCCATTCTCATCCATCGGCATCCATCGACATCCATTCACATCCTCTCTCATCCAATCACATCCAAATGACACCCATTCTCATCCATCGACATCCGTTCACATCCAAATGACATCCATTCTCTTCCAACATCATCCATTTACCTCCATATGACATCCATTCTCATCCATCGTCATCCATTCACATCCAAACGACATCTGTGCTCTTCCACCTACATCCATTAACATCCAAAAGACATCCATTCTCATCCAAAGACATCCAATGGACATCCATTCTCACCAACCGTCATCCATTATCATCCATATGACATCCATTCTCATCCACCAACATCCACTCACATCCAAATGACATCCATTCTCATACACCGTCATCCATCATTAACGTCCATATGACGCCTAATCTCATCCATCGTCATCCATTAACTTCCATATGACATCCATTCTCGTCCATCGACATCCATTCACATCCAAATGGTCCTGTGGAGGAGCTCCCAAAGGAAGTTTCTAAACCTAAACGACCGTTGGGCGCAAAGGCCGAAAGGACCAAGTATGGTGAATGATCGCAAAAATGTCCTACAGCCTACTTAAAACATCAACCAACACTGTAACCGAGAACGAACAACGGAACGTTGAGCACAGCGCCATCTGGCGGCGGCTCCATGAACCTCATCCTCACACTACGAATGTTCGGGCGCTCACATCACCGACATACATTCTCAACGACCGTCATCCATTTACATCCATCGTCACCCACATGCATCCAAATGCCATCTCTTTGCATCCCAGCAACAACCAGGCACATCCCAGCGACATCCATTCAGATCCAAGTGACTTCTATTCGAATCCAAGTTACTTCCATTCACATTCATCGCCATCCACTCACATCCAAACGACATCCCTACTATTAGAGTCACATCCAAATGACATCCATTTTCATCCATTCACATCCAAATGACATCCATTTTCATCCATTCACATCCTAATGACATCCATTCTCATCCATTCACATCCAAATGACATCCATTCACATCCATTCTCATCCATTCACATCCAAATGACATCCATTCACATCCATTCTCATCCATTCACATCCAAATGACATCCATTCACATCCATTCTCATCCATTCACATCCAAATGACATCCATTCACATCCATTCTCATCCATTCACATCCAAATGACATCCATTCACATCCATTCTCATCCATTCACATCCAAATGACATCCATTCACATCCAAATGGCATCCAAGTGACGGATGTTATTTGGATGAGAATGGGTGTCATTTGGATAAAAAGGGATGACGGTGGATAAAATTGGATGTCATTTGGGTATGAATGGATGTCAATGGATGTCATTTGGACGTGAATGGATGAAAATGGATGTCATTTGGATGTGAATGGATGTGAATGGATGAAAATGGATGTCATTTGGATGTGAATGGATGACAATGGATGTGAATGGATGTCATTTGGATGTGAATGGATGTCAATGGATGTCATTTGGATGTGAATGGATGACAATGGATGTCATTTGGATGTGAATGGATGTGAATGGATGTCATTCGGATCGAATAGAGGTCATTTGGATGTGAATGGAGGTCATTTGGATGTGATTGGACGAAAATGGATGTGATTTGGATGTGAATGGATGTAAATGGAGAAAAATGGATGTCATTTGGACGTGAATGTTTGTCGTTTGGATGTGAATGGATGATGGTGGATGGGAATGGATGTCAGGTTTTTGGTCGTGGCTGAATGTCGGTGGATGCAAAAGGATGTCGTTTGGAAGTAAAGCCCAGATGTCGTTGGAGACGAGCGGATGTCCCACGGAAGTCAGTGGATATCCTTGGACGTTTGTGGATGTGGCTGGGAAGGCAGTGGATGTCGTTGGATGAGGTTGGATGAGATTGGATGTGGCTGCGTAGTAGGTGGATGTCGTTCGACGTAAGTGGAAGTTTCTGGAAGTTGGTGGAAGTCATTGGACGTGCGTGAATGTGGATGAGTAGACAGTGGATGTCGTTGGATGAGAATGGATGTGGCGGGGAAGGTGTGGATGTGGATGGACGTGAGTGGATGTCACTCGGAAGTCAGTGGATGTCTTTGGACGTGTGTGGATGTGGTAAGGAAGCTAGTGGATGTCCATGGACGAGAATGGATGTGGCCGGGAGGTGGGCGGATGTCGTTGGACGTGAGTGGATGTCGCCCGGAAGTCAGTGGAGATGTATGGACGATTATGGATGTGACTGGATGTCAGTGGATGAAAATGGAGGGAAATGGATGAATTTGGATGTCTATGGAAGAAAATGGACGACTTTGGATGTGAAATCCGATCTCCAACCACATCCAAGTTCTACCAGGGCAATGGATTGCTCCCCGAACGAGGAATCCATTGGTGGAGGGGCGTGGAGGGGTCACACCCCTGGTAGAACTTGGATGTGGTTGGAGATCGGATTTCACATCCAAAGTCGTCCATTTTCTTCCATAGACATCCAAATTCATCCATTTCCCTCCATTTTCATCCACTGACATCCAGTCACATCCATAATCGTCCATACATCTCCACTGACTTCCGGGCGACATCCACTCACGTCCAACGACATCCGCCCACCTCCCGGCCACATCCATTCTCGTCCATGGACATCCACTAGCTTCCTTACCACATCCACACACGTCCAAAGACATCCACTGACTTCCGAGTGACATCCACTCACGTCCATCCACATCCACACCTTCCCCGCCACATCCATTCTCATCCAACGACATCCACTGTCTACTCATCCACATTCACGCACGTCCAATGACTTCCACCAACTTCCAGAAACTTCCACTTACGTCGAACGACATCCACCTACTACGCAGCCACATCCAATCTCATCCAACCTCATCCAACGACATCCACTGCCTTCCCAGCCACATCCACAAACGTCCAAGGATATCCACTGACTTCCGTGGGACATCCGCTCGTCTCCAACGACATCTGGGCTTTACTTCCAAACGACATCCTTTTGCATCCACCGACATTCAGCCACGACCAAAAACCTGACATCCATTCCCATCCACCATCATCCATTCACATCCAAACGACAAACATTCACGTCCAAATGACATCCATTTTTCTCCATTTACATCCATTCACATCCAAATCACATCCATTTTCGTCCAATCACATCCAAATGACCTCCATTCACATCCAAATGACCTCTATTCGATCCGAATGACATCCATTCACATCCATTCACATCCAAATGACATCCATTGTCATCCATTCACATCCAAATGACATCCATTGACATCCATTCACATCCAAATGACATCCATTCACATCCATTGTCATCCATTCACATCCAAATGACATCCATTTTCATCCATTCACATCCATTCACATCCAAATGACATCCATTTTCATCCATTCACGTCCAAATGACATCCATTGACATCCATTCATACCCAAATGACATCCAATTTTATCCACCGTCATCCCTTTTTATCCAAATGACACCCATTCTCATCCAAATAACATCCGTCACTTGGATGCCATTTGGATGTGAATGGATGTCATTTGGATGTGAATGGATGAGAATGGATGTGAATGGATGTCATTTGGATGTGAATGGATGAGAATGGATGTGAATGGATGTCATTTGGATGTGAATGGATGAGAATGGATGTGAATGGATGTCATTTGGATGTGAATGGATGAGAATGGATGTGAATGGATGTCATTTGGATGTGAATGGATGAGAATGGATGTGAATGGATGTCATTTGGATGTGAATGGATGAGAATGGATGTCATTAGGATGTGAATGGATGAAAATGGATGTCATTTGGATGTGAATGGATGAAAATGGATGTCATTTGGATGTGACTCTAATAGTAGGGATGTCGTTTGGATGTGAGTGGATGGCGATGAATGTGAATGGAAGTAACTTGGATTCGAATAGAAGTCACTTGGATCTGAATGGATGTCGCTGGGATGTGCCTGGTTGTTGCTGGGATGCAAAGAGATGGCATTTGGATGCATGTGGGTGACGATGGATGTAAATGGATGACGGTCGTTGAGAATGTATGTCGGTGATGTGAGCGCCCGAACATTCGTAGTGTGAGGATGAGGTTCATGGAGCCGCCGCCAGATGGCGCTGTGCTCAACGTTCCGTTGTTCGTTCTCGGTTACAGTGTTGGTTGATGTTTTAAGTAGGCTGTAGGACATTTTTGCGATCATTCACCATACTTGGTCCTTTCGGCCTTTGCGCCCAACGGTCGTTTAGGTTTAGAAACTTCCTTTGGGAGCTCCTCCACAGGACCATTTGGATGTGAATGGATGTCGATGGACGAGAATGGATGTCATATGGAAGTTAATGGATGACGATGGATGAGATTAGGCGTCATATGGACGTTAATGATGGATGACGGTGTATGAGAATGGATGTCATTTGGATGTGAGTGGATGTTGGTGGATGAGAATGGATGTCATATGGATGATAATGGATGACGGTTGGTGAGAATGGATGTCCATTGGATGTCTTTGGATGAGAATGGATGTCTTTTGGATGTTAATGGATGTAGGTGGAAGAGCACAGATGTCGTTTGGATGTGAATGGATGACGATGGATGAGAATGGATGTCATATGGAGGTAAATGGATGATGTTGGAAGAGAATGGATGTCATTTGGATGTGAACGGATGTCGATGGATGAGAATGGGTGTCATTTGGATGTGATTGGATGAGAGAGGATGTGAATGGATGTCGATGGATGCCGATGGATGAGAATGGATGCAGGTGGATGCAAACGGATGACAGTGGAGGTCGTTACTGGATATGGATGTCGGTGGATCTGAATGGATGTGGCTGGGCTGTCAGGGAACGTCGTTGGATGTGAATGGATGACGTTTGGATGTCGCTTGGATGTCGGTGGATGTGGTTGGACCTGTTTGGATGTGAGGAGCTGACATCCAGGGACTTCCAGAATGAAACATTCCGGATATCCGTGGATGTCATTGGAACATCCTGGATGTCCCTGGACGTCAAGAATACGACATCCAAAGTCGTCCATAAATTCCCATCAGGGACGTTGGGTTCGAGACCCATTTAGCGACTCTGGAGCTCAAAACGCATCCAGGGTTTTGGCCGCCTCCACCGGTCTCCCGGCGCACTGTGCGCCGGGGTGCAGCCTCCCAAGTCCAAAGAGCGCCTGCGGGTCGCAGCGTAGGCAACCCGCCACGCAGCCGTGTGCAGCGGGTTGGCCTACGCGTACCTTCACAGGCGCTCCACAGCGGACTCTCCCGAGGGTCGCGCAGGACCCAGGTGACACCGGATTTCTCGAGTGGTTGCCCCCGCGGTGCATACCGACAGGGCCCGCATGCTGGCTCCACCCCGGCTCGGCCCGGGCTCGGCCTGTGCATGCGCGGTGCATGCATGGTGCATGGCTACATTGCCGACGACTTGTGTTGTAGGTTTCGCATTTCGGACTCACCGCAGTGGCACGTGCTACCCGACGCCAGTGAGCTGGACCTGAGCGCGCCGTGAGTGCAGCCTCAACAGCCAATCAGAACGCACCGCCCGCCACGGCGACACCGCGCCGGCCAATCACAGCGCACGCGACTGTACTGAAATCGAGTCACTGACCCGTCTCTCGCTGCGCTTGTTCCGCTTGCAGGTCAACTCGAGAGGTCGATTCGACCGACTGGCCCATGCGACCACGTCAAGACGCGCACTTCATTCCCTTCTTCAAGATTCTTTTTAAGGAATGTAAAGTAGGTGCTGGTGTTGGCAGGTACCGGCAGTCCGACACTCCCGAGTGGCGGACGCTGCGCGTCGGCGACACCGGCTCCACCGAGGCCATGGTGTCGGGGCTCAAGTCGGGCCGCGAGTACGAGTTCATGGTGCTGAGCCAGGACGAGCACGGCGACGGCATGTTCAGCAAGGCCATCCGCGTCAAGACGGCCGGTAGGCAACAAGAAGGGAAGCGCACAGTGGGCCAGAAGACCGGTGGCAGCGGCCAAAACTCCAGACGCGTTTTGAGCTCCAGACGTCGCTCAGCAGGACTCGAACAAAACGTGTAACCCCACCAATGGACTCCTCGTTCGGAGAGCAATCCATTGGGGGGTCCGAGGGGGGGTCACACGTTCGGTTCGAGTCCCATTTAGCGACTCTGGAGCTCGAAACGCGTCGGTCCTCTGGCCCACTGTGCAGTGTGGTGGCAAGGCGCCAGTCTAACGCGTCGCTGCCCTGCTTCCAGGCACCAGCACGGTTGAAGAGGTCCCGCACGAGTTCAGGACCTCCATAGGTAAGCCTTGGGGGCGGCCGTGGGCCTGAATCGAGAAAAGATAACAACAAAATTACGATTTTATGTTTGTTGTTTCTTCAGGGTCGTTCCAGCAGATCGGCCCTCCCCGCAACGTAAGCGTGCGCGTCAGCAGCGAGGGCTACCTGGTGCACTGGGACCCGCCCGCCTTCGGCGCCGAGGACCTCAAGCACTACGTGGTGCGGTGGGCGCGCGGCGCGCCGGACTCGGGCTACCTGCCGTCGGGCTCCGACGCCACCGAGGACCTCTCCTACACCAGTGAGCACACCACGCAGTGAAGACCGGTGGAGGCGGTCCAAAATCCCAGACGCGTTTTGAGGTCCAGAGTCGCTAAATGGGACTCGAACCGAACGTGTGACCCCACCAATGGATTGCTCTCCGAACGAGGCACACGCTCGGTTCGAGTACCGTTCAGCGACTCTGGAGCTCAAAACGCGTCTGTTATATTTTTTACACTGTGCCTGTGCCGTGCCCGCAGTCCGCTACCTGGAGGAGGACCGGCTGTACACCATCTTCGTGCTGTCCATCAACGCCAACGACGTGGAGGCCACGTCGCACCCCGTGTCGCTGTACGTGCCGCCCTACCGCTCGCAGCGCGCGCTGTCCGTCGGCATGGCCGTGGGGCTGGGGCTCGTGGCCGTGGCCGTGGCGGCCGCCTGGTACCTCCGCGAGAAGCAGATCCGGCGGCTGCGGGAGCAGGACGAGGACGCCGACGACAGCGCGCCCAGCAGCAACGGCAAGGGCAAGAACTAGGCCGCCCAGTCCCACCCTTTTCCTCTTCCCCGTCCCTTCCCCCTCCTCCCTGTCTCCTTCCTAGCGCCCGCCATTCGGCCCCCCCCTCCCCTCGAACCTCTTCACTGCCTAAACTAAATCAGAGTATACGGCTTCGTGTGTAGTTGTATTTGGTTCTGTTTAACTTTGCGTGTAGGTATAGTTTATACGTTCCTGTGTGTTTTTTTGTATGTCCCTTCCCCCCTCTTCTAATTAATCGTGAATTTCAGTTCGCGGAGAGACTGTGAAATGTAGACTGTGCAGATTAGACGTATTTATTGCAAACTAAGAGACTCATCTACTCGACAAAATTTTCAGCACTTGAAATCAGAACTACAAAGCAAATAATATAGGGTGTAATAACTGAAAAAAAAAATGGTTGTGCTCAAATGTGTTTTTTTTTTCTTCCTAGCGTCATGGTCTGGCCCAACTGAGTAGTCATGAATAGCGGCACTTTAGTTTGTTAGTTCAACTTCGTGTGAATGTGTGTGTACATATGCGAGTGCATGAGTGTCTGCGAGGAATGTGTACTTCATAGGGCAGTAGATGAGGAAATCTTTGGCAATGTCACCAAAGAGATCTATTTTTGTGCATTTATGGACAGTGTAAATTTGCTCCCTGTGAGTACAAGAAGAGCGTTTTGTTTCAATAAAATAATACTAAAATTTGTTTATCGCCCTTCTTTAATGCTTTCAACCGAGCAGGTGTCAAAAGAACTAACGCATTGGCTAGGTTGTATCTATTTATTTTCTACAAAAATTATAGGATCAATAAATTAAGTATGCAATACAAAAGAAAAAGCACATGGCAAGGCGCGAAAAGGAATAAAAACACACCAGTATTGTGCTTCGCCACAATACACGATGCTGTCATATCATACACTTCTCAAACACAACAAAAGAATAAATAATACAAACTAGTTCGTTTTTTTTTAAATCACAGAATGTCATTTGAATAAATAGTGCAGAAAAGTCGAGACAAGTGAAGCCTCTTCCACGCTTTTGGAAATCCACGTCTCGTGAGCAAAGTCTTACTCTACGGTGACCAACACACAAACTAAATTACATCTGTACTCGGCTGTAACTCTCCGAGCCCTTTTTCACAAAACACACGCGCGGAATTTGAATTTGATCTGCTTTGTAAATAAGGGAAACTTTTCTTACAACCACACACACATGGACACCAACCGCCCGCTCAAATCAATTCGTAAAACCAACGTAACTGTTAACTGTTAACGTTTCTTTTTTAAATCCTCAAAATTTACGCTTCATCGACGCCGGAGGGGACTAGAGAGGGGCTAGCCCGCCGCGGACTACCCACGACGTCCTGTCCAGACACGTGTTTGGAAACAGACGTCTCATCAGGAACACATCTAGCGCACGTTTCGCGAAAGTCTAAGACGGGCCTGAGTCTCGCCCAGAGGAGTGCTTGGCGCCTTTGTCATCGCAAGGAGCGTGTGTCCACCAGAATTATTGGTTCCTCCTCCAACCACTTTGACAAATCAAAGTTGTCATATTTTCTCCTCGCGAGAACCACGCATTTCGATGAGCTCTCGTAGAAGTCTGAACAAACCAGGTCTAGGAAGTCTAAAAGTCTGGAACACGTCTGCGTCGAAGAAAACGTCGAGAACAGGACTGACCAGTCAAGGACACGTCTGTAAAAACATCTAGGACATGTGACAGACGCTTATGAAATCAGTTAAAGGTTCCTGGGGCGCATTTGGGTAGAGTCGCAGTCGTGCTAGGGCCGCGAGGAACACACCCAAGAGATGCCCGAGGTATGTCACAGAAAAGTCTAGGATGTCTGACACCCGAATCCTGAGGACAATATTGAGGACCATTCCGAGGACCATCCAAAGGACCATCCTGAGGACCATCCAAAGGACCATCCTGAGGACCATCCTGACTACTCCTCATGTGTATGTTGGTCGAACAAGTCTGAGACATGTCTCGGGGGTGTGGGGCCCTAGAGCACATCCAGGACGCGTCTAGGTGAAGTCTAGGGCGCGTCTAGGACGCCCTAGCGGTACAGGTAGTTGTGCGCCTCGGGGATGGGTTGGCCGCACACGCCGTGGTGCTTCTTGGTGACGAGGGCGCGCGACCGGCAGTTCTCCAGCTCCAGGAAGCAGTCGTTGGAGTACGTCTTGCCGTCCGAGCCGCAGATGGGGTCGTACACGGACGGGCAGATGCGCTGGCAGCCCCGGAACTGGAAGCCCAGCAGGCAGCGCTTCATGGGCACCACGAACACGTGCCGTCTGCAACATGTTCAGAATCAGTTTGGAATCGGTTCGATTTGGTTAGAGAGTAGGCTAGGTTCAGGTTTAAGGGTAGCAACTCTAAAAGCGTTTGGAGCTCGAGTGTAGTTAAAAAGGACTCGAACCCGAGCGTGTGACCCCACCAATGGACTCCTCGTTCGGAGAGCAATCCATTGGTGGAACCACACGTTCGGTTCGAGTCCCATTTAGCGACTCTGGCCCTCAAAACGCGTCCGTGCTTTTGACCGCCTCCTTCTGGGAGGTCTTCTGGCAAATCCACTGCGTGACGCTGCACTGAGCTGCACTCACCCGCAGTTGTCCCGCTTGAGCTCGCACTCGTTCCGGTAGAACTTGTTGTCGGAGCCGCACACGAAGTTCCTCTCGGGGCCGCACTCCTGGTTGCACAGCGCCGTGGTGCGGCAGTGCTGCTGCGGGACGGAGACCACCTTCTGGCCGCACGTCTCTCGCTTCAGCTCGCACTCGGACCTGGACTCAGGCAACACAAGGTCAGGTCAGGTACACTGGTGAAACAACGGCATTAAAAGTATGACCTCAATCGTTAATGCCTTTTGGAAAGGCATTAAAATTTTGCTTAAATTTCCTATTCCATTTACGCCCTTCCCAAGGGCAGATAACGATTTATGCCCTTACAAGGGCGTATAAGAGTATTTATGCCATGAAGGGCGTAATTTTTTTATGCCTTTGTTTTACCAGTGTAAAAGTAAGAGCGGGTAAAGGTAAAGGTGAGGGTAAAGGTAAGGGTAAAAGGTAAGGGTAGAAGGTAAGGGTAAAGGTAAGGTCAGGTTAGGTTACTTTCGTATTGCTGGCTGTCTTTTCAGCAGAGAACGGCAGAGAAGCTACTTTTAGGTATTTTTGGCCTCCTACCTGTACGTGTTGCCGTCGGAACCGCAGACCGGTTTCTCGTCAGACGGACAGTCCGAGGGGCAAGTCTCGTGCTGGGCCAGGGGCGCGCACTCGCCCACGTGCGCCATCTGAATCCCCTTGCTGCACAAGAAAAGAAAAATTAAAAACAATCTGGGGATTCAAAAAAAGAAAAAGAGGAAAAAATGAGAGTATTAGAACCGCGGACTCACAGGCATGTGGCGATCTGCAGGTGGCACTTGCTGGGGTAGGTGCGCGCGTCCGTGCCGCAGACGGGGTCCGACCAGCCCTCCGCCGTGCACTTGACCTTGTTGCACTTGTTGATGCGCGACCGGCACTTCTCGATGTCCACGCGGACCACCTTGCGCCTGGACTGCGCGCTCCTGCAATCAACCACTTGACTCAACACACTCAAGCCAACGGGCGCACAGTGGGCCAGAAGACCGGCGTAGGCGGATAATACTTGAAACGCGTTTTGAGCTCCAGAGTCGCCAAAATGGGACTCGAACCGAACGTGTGACCCCACCAATGGATTTCTCGTTCGGAGAGCAATCCATTGGTCGGGTCACACGCTCGATTCGAGTCCCATTTAGCGACTCTGGAGCTCAAAACGCGTCCGGGATTTCGGCCGCCACCGCCGGTCTTCTGGCTCACTGTAGAACGGTCCCTTCAGCAGGCTGCCGCCCGGCAGGCCAGCAGCACAGCACTCTGAGACGCGCGTTGGGTTGCCTACCCGTCGGACCGCAGGGGCTGTCCGTGGCCCGCCAGCCCCACTGGCCAGCCCTAGCCCTGGCCACACTCCACGAGACGCCACACCAGTCTAACCCGCAGGCACCCTGAATCGGCAGGGGATCAACTCTGGTCTAGCCCATCGTGTTGATGATCTAAAGGTGGCGCCCTCGCTTCATAACTACGAAGAAGAAAATGAAGGCATTGTAGTGCTTATGAAGCAAAATCCTTCGTAATACGAAGCATTTCTTCGTAGATTTTACAATGCCTCCATTTCCTTCGTAGAGCGGCCGGTGGTTCGTACCCGCAGTTGAGCATCTTGAGCTCGCACTCGGAGCGGTACACGTTGGCGTCGGAGCCGCAGGTGAGTCTCTCCTTCTCGCCCTCGCAGGACGTCGGGCAGGCCGCCGAGGCCGCGGACGCCGCGCCGCCAGCGCCAGAGCCGCCGGACGTACGCTCCTGCGTCATGCAGAACGACATGGGCACCTCGAACACGTGCTTCCTGCAACCACAAAACAAAGTCCGCGCGCGTTGCTACATTGTAAAAAGGCAGCGGAATCCGGTTGCAGCCGTGCTCTCCATGCAAACGCCCTGGTCGTTAATTGAAAGCAGCCGACCGGAGAGAGAGAGCGAGAGAGAGAGAGAGAGAGAGAGAGAGAGAGAGAGAGAGAGAGAGAGAGAGCTGGACGTACCCGCAGTTCTTGCTCTTCATACGACACGCGTTGGTGTAGATTTGGCCGTCCGAACCGCAGGTGGGTCTGGCGACGCGCCAGCACGTCTCGCGGCAGTGGCGGGTCGTCTGGCAGTGCTTCTTGTTGGTGCGGACCACGCCCTGGCTGCAACGCGTGCAACGCACACTCAGTCAAGCTCCAGAGTCGCTAAGTGGCACTCGAACCGAGCGTGTGACCCCATCGAGGGATTCCTCGTCCAGAGAGCAAACCATTGGTAGGATCACACGTTCGGTTCGAGTCCCATCTAGTGACTCTGGAGCTCAAAACGTGTCTGGGATTTTGACCGCCTCCACTGGTCTCCTGGCAAATCGGCTGCGCCGCACTGGTGACTGACCCACAGGTGAGCAGCTTCATCTGGCAGGTGTTCTTGTAGACGTTGCCGTCCGAGCCGCAGATGGGGCCGTCCATGGGCGCCTGCTCGCAGCTCACGGGGCAGTTCTCGCGGTGGGCCGAGATGTTGTTGCACGGCCCCAGGTGCGACAGCTGGATGCCCACTCTGAAACGGAACGGCGTCAGTAAATGTACAACAATGTTAAATTACGGAATAATGAGAAAATCCGGAAAATCCGCGTTTTGAAATGGAAAGTGACTCCTGCCTAAAAAGAAAGGGCGCCCTTCAATGCATCGCTAGGCTGCGCTAGGCACTTTTGGTTCCACAGCCAGTCTGAGAGAGGGGGCAACCACTTGTAATTTTTTTCTACACAGGATTCTTCCAAGGTAGGGATTTCATCGAGATTTCGCAGGTTTTCGCGTCAAAATTAAGCCAGATTTCGTGAGATTTTGATGGGATTTCACGTGGTTTCACCATATTTCGATGGGATTTCGCGAGATATCACCAGGCTTCTAAGGAATTTCACCAGATTTCTACCGATTTCGCGCGAGATTTCGGCCAATCAAGTGTACATAGGATTTCGCGAGTGGTTGCCCCCTTGAACTTGCACTTTTCTGCCAACGCACAGGGGTGAGGTGTTGCCTTTGGCCCACCATTCCGATGGATTAGCTACCTAGAGGCCAAAAAGGGCGAGAGGGCTGGCGACGCTTACCTGCAGATCTCCACCTGCAGCATGCACCGGTTGAGGTAGGTCCTGCCGTCCGTGCCGCACACGGGGTCCTGCTCCTTCCCGCAGCGGTGGTCGCAGGTGGAGCCGGCGTGCCGCATGCAGGCCTCGGGGTCCTTGTTCACCGTCACACCTGCAAGCAGCTTGCGTTGTAGCCGGCGGAGGAGGTCCAAATCCCGGACGCGTTTCGAGCTGCAGCGTCGCGCTAAATGGGACTCGAACCGAGCGTGTGACCCCACCAATGGATTGCTCTTCGAACGAGGAATCCGTTGGTGGGGTCACACGTTCGGTTCGAGTCCTGTTTAGCGACAGCGACTCTGGAGCTCAAAACGCGTCTGGAGTTTTGGCCGCCTGCGCCAGTCTTCTGGCCCACTGTGCGCGACGTCCTTGCGTTCAAGTCTCCGCGACAGCTTTTGTAGGTACGTCTACTTGTCTGTGCGTCTGGCTGTCTGTCAGTTGTGTGTCGGCTGTCTTTTCGTCTGTCTGTCTGTCTGTGTGTCCACTCACCCTTGCCGCAGGTCTTCTTCCGCATGTCACACTGGTTGGTGTAGATGACGCCGTCCGAGCCGCACACGGGGTCACCGCCGCCCTGGACGGGGCAGATCCTCGGGCAGGAGGCATCCCTCGCGGCCCCGCAGTCTGAGGAACAGAGAAAAAGTTAGGCTGGGTCATCGCCTCAAGAAATGCTCTCAGCCTGGAAATATTCTCTTGGCCTGGAAAAATGCTCTCGGCCTGAAGAAATGCTCTTGGCCTGGAAAAATGTGCTCTTGGCCGGGAAAAATGTGCTCATGGCCTGGAGAAATGCTCATGGCCTGGAGAAATGCTCTTGGCCTGGAGAAATGTTATTCACCTTGAGAAATGCTTTCTGACTCATAGATATCGCGAACCCTCACAATTGTTTCCCGTGACCCCCAGGCTAAAAAGTGCATCACTCGCCTCGGCATTGCCGTCCGTACGCAGCGGTCTGCAGAACGAGAGCAGTTCGGAGCGCAAGAAAAGCTCGCCAAAAGTCGTCGCGGGTCTAAACCGATGGCAGACGGTCGGACGCCCGGCCCGCCGGCCGTGGCCTCGGCCGCTGCCCACACTGCCCCCCGTTTACGAGGAGCAGACTCCTAAACCTCGCGGGGCATTTCACCGACCGATAACCGAAAACACCGATAAATTAAATTCGCAGGGGGATAAAAGGGTCGAGTATGAAAAATCTATGCCCGGGGACGGAGCGGGGAACGAGGTCAGTGGGCCGGGCCGCCGGATTCTGCCAACAGTGGGCGACAGGCAGGACGAGGCAGGACGAGGCGGGCAGGCATGCGGAAGGGAAGCGACTCTCCGGAGATGTGCCGTGCCGTGCGCGGCCGAGGCACAGTGTGCCAGAAGACCGGTGGAGGCGGCCGAAACTCGAGACGCGTTTTGAGCTTCAGAGTCGCTGAACAGGACTCCAACCGACCGTGTGACCCCACCAATGGATTCCTCGTTCGGAGAGTAATCCATTGATGGGGTCACACGTTCGGTTCGAGTCCCATTTAGCGACTCTGGAGCTCAAAGCGCGTCCTGCATTTTGACCGCATCCACCGGTCTTCTGGCCCACTGCGCGAGGCATGGCGATGCCGAACAGTGTCATCTCTCTCTCTCTCTCTCTCTCTCTCTCTCTCGCCGGCCGGCCGGCGCCTGCCAGTCTATAAAAATGAACGAGCTGCGTCGGGATTCGGGTGGACGGTCGCTCGCGGCTCTGTTCTGGCACGGGCGGAGTATTAATAAATTATCGAAATGGTCCTGGTGCGGCATGGCGGCGCGGCGCGGTGCGGCGCGGTGGCGGATAACGGAACACCAGGATCACGGTGAGGATCACGATCCCGAAATCGGGGCGCCAGCGCCTCGCGGCCGTGCATCCTGCATCCAGGTCAAGGGCAGCGCCGAGGCAGCGCCGAGGCAGCGCGGGGTACTGGAGTGCACGGGGTGCGCGCCGAGCTGAGTCGCTCTCGTCGCACAGTGGATTTGCCGGAAGACCGGTGGAGGCGGCCGAAACTCCAGACGCGCTTTGAGCTCCAGAGTCGCTAAATGGGACTCGAACCGAACGTGTGACCCCACCAATGGATTGCTCTCCGAACGAGGAGTCCATTGGTGGGGTCACACGTTTGGTTCGAGTCCTGTTTAGCGACTCTGATGCTCAAACCGCGTCTACAATTTTGGCTGCCTCCATGGGGCGTCTGGCCCACTGGTCTGTCTCTCTCGCACCTTCAAGACCCTTACGAGACCCTGTTTGTTTCAAACTTGTCATCGATGACATCAGAGTGACAACGTCGTTTTGTCGCTTTCGACCATTATTTTATGTTTTTGCAGCGCGTGGTTCGATTTTTCACACCAGCGATCCAGCTGGTCCAAGGACGCGGAACGAAATGGGTCGTGTCGTGTGACAAGGCAGGAATTGGTTTTATCCGGGGCGTGGCGGGGCGTGGCGGGGGGCGGGTGGCGGGGCGTGGCGGGGCGGGGCGGGGCGGGGCGCAGGGGTCAGAGAAAGTGCAACTCGTGCCGTACCGCCGAGCGCACCACTCTATGCACCGCGGGACCCTCGGCGGGGCCACTCCTCGCGATCTGGACGGTGCCCCAAGGTGCCCCACGGTGCCCCGAACCTCCGAGAGCGAGAGAGAAACTTACCGGCACATAGGTTTCAAATCGACCGTCAAATCGACCGTCGCCCGGAAAAATGTAAAAATAAAAACGTTTCATGGGAATTGTTTTAAAGTATCTGTTTCCTGAAGAACGCATCGACGATCCATTTTAAACAGGGCTAATGAGAAAACGCAAATCATCACGTCTCATGCGAAGTGAACTGACATTCTACCTTCCCCCCCCCTCCCGGCTCGTCCCCACGTTCTGCCGCTAGATTGGTATCCCGGAAACCCGGAATTCCATAACGGATGCAAATATGCAGTGGACAGGTGGACGGACGGACGGACGCACTGTTGAAATTTGTTGTCACTTTGTGACGAAATCGTGGATGCTATTTTCATCACTTTCAAATGATGACAGTCTCAACACAAATTGATGCCATTTTCGTCAAAGCCCCTATACTTATTGCATGGGCGTGACAACAATGTCATCAATTGTTTTGATGACATCCTTGTAAGGAAAATTAGCCTTAAAATGAAAGGGAAGACTTAAATTTTCACAGTGCGGACAGACAGACAGACAGACAGACAGACGACACGAAGACGAGAGACAGACAGACAGAAGACAGACGGACAGACGACGACGGACAACGACAGACAGACAGGACGGACAGACAGACGGACAGCGACGACGAAGACGAGACGACGACAGACAGACAGCCGGCACGCCCCGCGCCAAGCCTGTTGACAAACGCCGAATGCAGGTTGGCTTTGTGTGCCGTGGCGCGCCGGGCGCCTGGAATGTGTGTTCTAGTGGAGTCGCGAGGACCCCCCGGACTGCAAGCACACTGCAGGCAGACTGCAGGCAGACTGCAGGCAGACCGTACAGTGAGAGCTGCAACTTGTCCCCACTGCCTTACCTCGCACTGCCGACCGATTCCGAGAGTCGTTTTCGTCGCTGTCTCTCTCGCACCCATGCGGGACGCCCTGCGGGTGCGAGAGAGACAGAGCGACGAAAACGACTCTGCTGCCTCGCGCTGCAAGGCATGCCTCGCACCCGGCGTGCATACTCCGGGAAAACTCGTCGCTTGTCTCGTCACTTAAATCGAAATGAGCGCGGTGGGCATGTCCTTTGGAACTGGTTCTCTTCTCTGCTTGGCGCGGGACGCGGGATCGAGCCCCACCAGGAGCCTCTTTTTTTCCCCTCTCTCCTTTTTTTTCGCGTAACTTTTCCCCCTGGAGGCATATCTCGAAGAAGCCGACAACCATAGGGAAGAGGTCTACAATGCAGGCCCAGGGCTCCCGCCCTGGATCATGACGATGGCAACAAAAAACAAGAACATCAACATCAACAACAACATCAACAAATAAGGCTACTTCATGCCTAAAAACAAAAAAACATCAACAACAACATTTGAGGATACAAAAAGAGGGAGCCACGCCGAATGTTGTTTGTTGCAGTGTCGCCGTGAAGTAGACGTGAAGTAGACAACGCATTAACACGGCAGGCGGGGCGAGCAAGGCGGGCACGGCCGGCAGCATGCATAAGGAGAAAGCTGCTTAAGCGGAACGGTCCTGCATAAGGCGCTACTGCAACAAAACGGGCCGGTGGCGCATCCGTTGCGCATCCGAGGGGCCGCACAGTGGATTTGCCAGAAGACCGGCGCAGGCGGCCAAAACTCTCGACGCGTTTTGAGCTCCAGAGTCGCTGAACAGGACTCGAACCGACCGTACCAATGAATTGCTCTCCATACGTGGGAATCCATTGGTGGGGTCACACGTTCGGTTCGAGTCCCATTCAGCGACTCTGGAGCTCAAAACGCGTCAGAGACTTTGACTGCCTCCATCGGTCCTCTGGCCCACTGTGGTCCGGCAGTTGGAACGTTAAGGGGGCAAACATCAATGAAACGGCCGTTCAGGAGCCAAAGCCGTTGACGCAGTGGCACCTGACGCTACTCTGTGCAGAGAAACTTAATTGAAAATTTAATTTATCTGAAATAAAACGGTTTTGCGATGACGTTTGGCCGTTGGCCAAATTAGTTGACATCGTTTGCCTGGAGATTTTTTCATTCGATACGGCTTCAACTAAAGGAATTCGTCTGTTCCATTGAAATACTTTTGTTCGTCTTTTGGAATTTTGCTGAACGTGATTCAAACATTCAAACATGATTTCAAATCAATGAAAATGCGGCTACTGCTCAGTCACTTTCCTCGGGGCGCGTGCCCCGTAAACCGTGTGCGGTAAGTGCCGCCGACCCGTGGCGCCGTGGCGGCGCCGTGGCCAAGCGCTCCATCACTCAGGACTCGCTGGCTTCGCTAGCTTCGCTCTCGTCGGCCGCTTTGGCTGGCTTCGCTTTGGCACCGCCTTGGCGCCGGGCCCGACTCAAACACAGTGGATTTGCCAGAAGACCGGTGGACGCGGTCAAAATCCCACACGCGTTTTGAGCTCCAGAGTCTCGAAATGGGACTCGAACCGAACGTACGACCCCACCAATGGACTCCTCGTTCGTAGACCAATCCATTGGTGGGGTCACGGTCGGTTCGAGTCCCATTTAGCGACTCTGGAGATCAAAACGCGTCGAGAGTTTTGGCCGCCTCAACCAGTCGTCTCGTCTACTGTGCTCTGCCGCCTCCGACATTGTACCAATTCCTCTCCAGAAAGCTTCCGAATCCAGAGGGAGAAGAAAACAGAAGATGCAGTGAAAACGAAAAGGAAAAAAAAACCCGGAGGGGGACTTTCCTAAACGTGAGCACCGCGAGACAAGACGAAGCGAAGCAGCGCGATTCCATGAACAAGCGAGTCTCAGAGTCAAGAGCGGATTGGAAGAAAGCGACGAGAGAGAGAGAGAGAGAGAGAGAGAGAGAGAGAGAGAGAGAGAGAGAGAGAGAGAGAGAGAGAGAGAGAGAGAGAGAGACTGTTGGCCGGCCATTTGTTTGTTGGTAATTACCGCAGGCACCGCGGGGAATGCAGACCGACACGCACTCGGACGACACCGCGTCACGGCCGCCAAAGGGCGCGAGCAACAACATCAA